TATTTTTCGAAAAATATTAATTCAATTTTTTGCTTTTACCATATTAATAATAGTAAAATGAACTATAACTATAGTGATATATATATTACCGGAAAAGAAGACATTTAGTCAATGTCGATAATGCCTAGTCAATCATGATAATGCCTGATTTAGTAAGGAATTAACGTTAATAACTAGTCATTGATGACAATTCCTAATAAAAGAAGGCATTGATGATAATTAGGGTTAGGATGATGTTTATGACATTTGCATATTTTTTCTTTTAGTTGTACACGTTGCAGATTCAGCAATAAATTTGTTTTGTACAACATAGAATTAGATACATTCAATTTTATGTTGAAAATTTAAAAATAATAGAAATAATAGATTAAGTTGTGATAACAACCGATGGCGTACCTACTATCTGAAAATTAGAATACACGTCTTTATTTGTATAGTTGTATACTTTATTGGAGTTGTATTGTTTATTTATTTTATTGTATAAAATTATGCCTGTAAATAGCGCAAGAAACCACAAACATGCATAAATTAGCAAAATAAAATTTTATACATTAGGGAAGTGTGGATTAAATTTGTATATTATTTTCGTTGTTCTACAACTTATCAAAAAAAAAAAAAAATATATGTATTTGTTAGAACTACCGAGCCCTATTAATAACTAATAAATGATGGTGTAGCGTCGTTCATGAGATTCTCGAATTTATTGGCCTCGGTGTCGTTTATTTTTTTTGGGTTATAATTGAACTAAGAGAACTTGCAATTCAAAGTTCAATTTATATCAGCTTTATAATGTACACGCAATATAACGATGGAAGATATCGAAATTAATGTACTAATACTTTACTTTACTAGATCATCGAAAACATCATTACGATCATTATGAATACCAACAAAGAAGAGACTGTTGAAAACAACGAGTTTGAAACTATGGTGGAGTATCTATTGTTTTCGGTGTGTTAATCGTCGTCTGACGGAGACGCGCTTACATGGTCCGTTCGAATTACTTCAGATCATTGATACTTCTAATAAACGAAAGTTTGATAGAAAACGAGCCACGAGACAATAATGAGATTATGGCAAACGACGAAAATAACTTTCTGGGTAAGGGCATTGAGGTAAAGAACAGTTTTGGAGAGCTTCTTGGATGATTTGTGTGTAAGATTTGGACAACCCGTACTAAATTAACGATGACGCTTTTCAGTGGTATAAAAGTTTGTTGCATTTATGTAAACGTAACACATAGGTACCTAAGATAATACTTATTTAATTTAATTGCTATAAAATATAAAGTATTCAGTGGAGCCGAGTTTTGTTTTTATTTTTAAAATAATAAAAATTATGTAAGTACACATAAAGTTGTTTTTTTCCTATTGTGGTATGTGGAGTATTTAAATACATTTTTACAGAAATAATGAATAATAAAATCATTAAAATAAATATTTCCAATAGAAGAATCGTTTATATAGAGTAATGAATAATGAGAATTGATCATTGATCTGCAAAGTAAACATTAAACGCTAAATATACCTACGTTGCACGGGAACATAAATTATTTTCAAGATATTTGTGGTTTAAACACAGAATAACCAGAAAGGACACTTTTTGAGTTAAACATGGGTTATTATGGGGTACATATATGTTATAACTGTTGGAATATCAGTGCTGGCGGTAAAAATATATTTCCCATTATTCTATTTTTATAGCGAGACTGTTATTCCAAAATTTTGCAAACCATTAAAAATGTATCTAAAATGTAAGCAGTGAAAAAATTAGTGTTACTAGACAAAAATAATTTTTAATTTTTGATAAATTAATGGACACTGCTATTCCAACAAATTGAACAGTTTTGAGTGCTCAAAAAGTGCCCTTTCTGGTTATTTTGTGGTTCAAACATGATACACTAAATGTGATAAATTGAATGAAACACTATCATAAAATATAGCACTGCGATGAAAATACTAAGGATAGGTGTACATTGTGTACTGTAATAACACAAAAATAAGAGAAATTAAAATTAAAATGTAAAACTTATCAAAAATTAAAATTATTATACGGCATATTATACATTTGAGGCATTTGCGTATGCCACTGTTGGTTATTGAAATTGTTTTGATTTTGGCTATCATTATTTTCGTAGGGATTTCTGTCTACAATATTACCTTGATAATTTGTATTTGTTTCCTTGTTTAAAAATTGACTAAATATGGTCTTTATGTCTTTAATCTCATCGCGCAATTTGTCGATCTCATTTTCTTTTGTGTTTTTATTTGAGTTTATTTGTTGAAGTTTGGACTTTATTGTTTCTGTTTCTAGGTCGAATTGAGATTTAGGTGTTTCACCTGTTATCATAAATTCAATCATTTCGTACTTGGGTACGTTGTTTTTTTTAATTCTGTTAAGTTAGCATTATCCATTATTCCTATGTATCTCGCTATGGAGGGGTTTAAGCCTTTCATTATATTGTGTACCATTTCTTCCTGGGACATTCTGCTATCAATGCGTCTGCATAGAGATTCGACCTCGTTGATATATGCTACGGTGGGTTCATCGGGTAATTGCTTCCGTTTTTTTAACATTAATCGAAGCATGTCATTTTGGGCTATTGGCTCAAATTCTAATCTGAATTTTTTTTCTAAGTTAGTCCATTCTATGTCTTCCCCACTATCCATAATATTATCATAAAAAGTAAGGGCGGAGCCCTCTAAAAATACCAGAATAAATTGAGTTTTTTCAGACTCTGACCACCCATTTATGATGGCAGCCCTATCATATTTTTTTAAAAACGAGTCGATACTTTCCGAGATCGAACCAGAAAAATTGTTTGGTTTGAAATATGGTCTTTTATTATCAGTTATTTTGTATATTATTGTGTTTTCGGCGGAGTTGTATATTGGTTCTGGGATAAATGTTATATTATCTATTTGCGTTTCAAAGTTTTCTGGAGTGGATTCTCCTTTTAAATATTTATGAAGTTTATTATTTTTTTTTTTTTTTAAATCAGGTACTAAACCAGAAATTATTAATTGTTATCTAGATACTTCTGTGATTAATTTTTTTTTTAGGTTTATTTATCCAACCCGTTGAAATGCTGTTTAAATTTATATTAGGGAATTTAAATTTATCCAGATTATCTATTTTTTTAAATTAGACATAGGTAAATAGTAATTAAATTAATCAATTAAAATTTTTTTTTTTATATATATGCTAAATATATTATAATACCTTGTTAATTAGTTTAATTATTCACTCAATAAGTGAGAAAAATAAAATATTTTATTTCACACTAAAATTATTTTTTTTTTTTTTTTTTTTTTTTTTTTTTTTTTTATATAAAATATATATAAATCTTTTAGGATTTTATTAATTATTTGATTTTACAAATTATTTTGAATTTTCTTAAAAATTGTTTTTTTTTTTTTTATATATATATATAAATCTTTTGATTTATTAGTTTTAGTTTTATGTGGTTAAATAAAAAATCCTCCTGAATATTTTTATAATCCCGTCTTTATTCCAATATAACTTCAAAATAAATATAAATTTTTAGTATATATATATTTTTTTTTTAGTATAAATCTTTTTTAAGATTTAATAATTTTAGTTTTATGTGGTAAAATAAAAAATTCTCCCGAATATTTTTATAAACCCGTTTTTATTTTTAATATGATTTTAAAATATATATAAATTTCTAATATATTTGTTTCACGTGGAAAAATAAAAAATTCTCTTGAATATTTTTATAATCCCGTTTTTTTTTAGTATAAATCTTTTAAGATTTAATAATTTTAGTTTTTTTTTTTTTTGTTATTTTAAAATGTATATTTTTTTGTATCTATCTCTTATAAATGTAAGTATATAATATGATGTATAGATTAACTGTCTAATCTCTATAGTGTACTTGATAAATTCTCAGTTTATTTTAAAAAATAAACAAATGAACTGAACTTATGTTGGGCGCCACTTTGTAATAACACAAAAATAAGAGAAATTAAAATTAAAATGTAAAACTTATCAAAAATTAAAATAAATGGGTATATGTTATGAGTATGATGTGGCCGGACTGACACAAGGGACACAAGCCTTGTATGTAAGTCCGGTACTAATAAATATTGAATGTACTTGTTCTTGCGTTATTACCTTCCTCCTGTTCTTCGGAGGGTTTTTGATATCGTGATTCGAGAATATGATCAAATACACCGTATGTAAATCAAATAGTAAAATATTTCGTACTGACAATAAGTATGTAGGGCATGCACCTTACCTGGTTCGCCGCGGTGAATACCTGTAGTACGATCCTCAGAGAAAGATGTAAGATAATACAAGTTGCGATACGATTTAAGGAAAACTTAAATTTAAATAAGAAAAACAACACTGATTTATCTTAGAAAAAGAAAGAAGTCCAGCTGTCGCTCGCAGTCTTGAGTTGTGGGGTGTGTGATGGGTTTTGGGAAGAGCTCCTGCTCGTTTGTCTGGTGCGCCTGCACTGCAATTTTGTCGGTGCTCATGCACTCGATAGTTTGGCTGGTGCTCATGCACTGACTAGAGAAGACGACGTGATCAAGACAGCCAGGGTCCCCGATGACAGAGAGCCTTATTGGATCATCCTTTGTCTTTGACGGCACACGAAAGTAGGTCATACGTTTTGTGCCATATGGTCGCAATAGCGTTTGGGTTCCCACGTGGCCAAACAATGTAGATCGTCTCTCTCGTCAGTGATCAATAGGGATTATAGGTTTTTATTGAAGGCTATCTGCGTGCGACAACTTGACCGCTACTTTATTTAACGAAATGATAAAATATACAATAAATTATGATGTGTGAGCATATCATTACAGTACAAACTACGAGCAATGTAAATATGAATTGTGTATTTTGTGAAACGTAAATATTAATAATAGCCAAATACCTACTCGTAAATGACTCAATATAATTAATAAAATATAATGCAAAATAATTCAAAATAGTATTTTATATATGTATAGTAATTACTAATTAGTTACTAGTTTTAATAATCACAATTTGATAATTAAATGTCCCCAGATTGAAAATCATGTGTAATATTTTCCCCATTCTACGGTTAGATTTCAAGCAAAATCGGTGTCGGTGCAACACACACACGGGTATTAGTATTAATAGGGACTAATAAAAATATAATATTTTTCAGTCGTATATTTTGTGATGCTCGTCGTTTTTTTGTGTATGTAAAATAAATTAATACATTCCGAAAGTGGCAATTGCAAGTGTCTAGTTATTAGTCATCACCTGGAAAAAATCGATATCTGGCTGATTCAAGTTATATTTTAATCTGAACCAAATTTTTTAGCAAATATTCTACACTTAGGAATATGTTTTTGCCTGTATACGAGTTTCGATAACTTTAAATTATAAGCATATCAGTTCAATTTAAGTACACCTATACCGAGTGAAAAATATAATCAATTTGCAAGACGTATACATGAATATTGTCTATGTTCTGTGTTAGGAATATGATTGTGTATTTATAAATATAATATAATTGTTAATAAATATTGCGAGTATGGTTAAGTGGTATACTTGAAAATAGTTTATTATGCGCATTCGTATTTAAAGTGTATGTAATGAGTAGCATCGCCATCTACTGCAGATACTGGAAAGTGGAGATTGCGACCGTATACGCGTCAATCGTTCGAGGAAAATTAATTTTGCTACAATATACATAAATAGAATTATGTCAAATTTTAAACGTTTAATAAATAGTTTAAATAACTTAATCAATGGCATTAATAATAATTCTACGTATAAACTTTTTTAATATCCTTTTCTTTTGTCTTGCTGGTTATTTCCGTCCTGCAAGCCGGCAGAGTTGATTTTGTTCGCGGACAAGTTTTCATCCCAATCGTCACAATTCTGTAAGAACAAAAAAATGAAGTGAGCATATACATATATACCATTTGCTAGTGGAACTTTATTTACATTTTAAACTTTATAGACCGTAATCGTTTAAAATATTTACCCTTTGAGCTTTATTTTCCATGCACATTGCGAAATTTTTTGAAAATTCGCATTTGTTGTTATGCGACTCTGTGTAAATGAAATCAGTGGCGATAATTAATTCATTTACGTTAATAATTATATTCTATAGTTCTATACAATGATTCGTAAAGTTATATCAGACTCACCCAGTTCGAGGGCGTCGAAGCATTCATCGATGGAATCTTGTATGAATTCCTTCAGTTCGACGTCTTTTATTTGATTGGTCATAATATTCACTATTGAACGTTTATCAGGATGAGAGTTTGAGTTAAGCTGTCCAGTAAGTATAAAAAATTTCTAAATTACTATAATGTACAATAAATATAGGTAGATAGTATAATGGTTTGTAATCGTTCGAGTGTTAAAATAATAAACTTTCTTTTATAATACGCTTTGACGGTCACAAATAAATTAAACAGTTTGATTTCTACATAAAATAAATTATAATAGATATTTTATTATTAATATTAATCGATTAAAATAAAATTATAGTATATTAATTTGAATCAAACAATATTTTGATACACCAATTGATTTGAAAATAAAATTAACTTACCATTTCTAATTGATTGAAAACGCAATGTATTGTACACTATAAATAAAAAATTATAATTTTTAATATGTGGACAAAATTATTAGAACATAATTAAATATTATGGCTAAAAACATAACATATAATCGGGATTTAACTTGATTTCACTTAATCTGGAAAAAATTCAATATTGTTCTATTTGTATGTGACACGACTATACTATATTATTTAAACATTGTATAAAATCATATGACAGAATAAATGTTGTAATGTATCGGTTCGCTATTAATATTTAAAACGCTTGAATTCGAAACGTATAAAAATTGTGCTGAGTAGGGTAAACGTTGAAAAAAAGACATTTTTGACAAACTGAAAGGAACCGAAGTGATGCATAATATTGGGTGTACATTATACATTATATATATATTTAATAGTCCATGGATATCCACGCATTCTAAATGTACTCCTTTATAAGGATCGACGGAAAAAAACTGTTTAACATCACCCATATATTATGATCTATTATATAATTCGAATTATATTATAGTCAATGATCGTACACATAAAACTTTAGTGGGAAAAAATCTGTGAAATACTATTTTATTAATTACATTATTAATTATTATGTATGATAATTCTAGCATAAGTTGAATATTCTAATGCAATTAATATTTCTGTGTGCGTAAGTATGATATACGTACATGATGATAGATAATAAACCGGTATGAAAATTAAAAATCCATCTGAAAGAAGTATAGTAATAATATGGTAGCACTAATAAGACAATAATACAATATACGTAAAATAATAGATCAATTCACCCTAACACAAAATCGTTTTGGCTAAAATTAAATTTGATATATTTTATGTTTTTAAGACGGAGATAATGCATATGCGGATATGGTGTCTTCATAAAGTAACATATTTCTTAAAATCATGTACTAAAATGATTAAATAGAACAATAAAAATAATGACACAATGAGATATGCTGTTAAGTTTTTAGCACGTGAAAAATGAGAAAGTGTCTTCTGCAGTGTCTAAAAAAATGCCTAAGATGAACGATTTGATTCATTAGGTAATTATTATGACGTATCCAAATCCAAGGATACAAAGATTCAGAGGCATTAATGGTATTATGTATGTTAAATACTCTTACGGCGTCTATTTTGTCGAGAAATGTCCCTTTGCCCGGTTGATTTCCTCCGATTTTTGTTAAGTTTCTGAAACGATTGTTCCCTAACAGTCTGCTATTATTGCCTGTCATTGTCACCTTCTGACGTTTATTCTTATCATTGCTGTCATCCCTGCGGTATCGTCTCGTTGATTGCGATTGTCTGTAGTTGGAATTGGATTGTCCCATATCGTAATCAACACTCGGATAGCTTCCTTGCCGATGGTTTTTTGTTCGGCTACCTGTATTCCCCTGTATAGTACATAAAAATTTATACTACTTGTTATGTATATTTTTCGATTTCTAGCTGTAATTAAATGGTACGATGAATAGATAGAACGATAATATTGTATATATGTTGTAAGTCATATGGAAAATTAGTTTTTTTTGCGAAAAGACTAGGCTCTTTGCAATGGGGTAGCCCGTTTGTGAACTACTATTATTTTTCCAAACAACCTGCTGTTTTTTCAGGTTCACTGCATACAGACTAACAGCAGTCAGGCCTTTTTAGGAACTACGATAGTTTTATGGTACCTAATAACCATTTGACTATTGTATTACTAGTTTTATTTTATATTACCATTGATTATAGAATAGTCTATTCTTTAATCAATGATATTACTAACCATATGTAACATGTAAACTGAACTATTATATTATTGTAAAACTAGTGATACAATAGTCAAATGGTCATTACCATAAAATGATTGGAATTCTTAAAAGGCTTAACTGCTATTAGTCTATATGCAATGAGCTTGAAAAACAACAGACTGTTTTGGAAAATAATAAGTAGTTTACAAACGGGCTACCCCATTGCAAAGAGACTAGTCTTTTTGCAAAAAAAACTAATTTTCCATATGGCCTACGACATATATAATATTATGAGTACAGTGTCAAATTTCCTTTCCACGGAAACTGACGTTAAATTTTTCAAAGGTAAATCTAATATTTCATTCACCCATCTAATTATCTTCCAAAAATCTGAAAAATTAATTTGCAATTATATTTTTAATTATATATTTAATATATTAAATACTAAAATACTATGGTCAACATTAAGTTATTACCCATTGGTCATAATGGTCATTACTTGCCCATCCACCATACGCCTTTAAAAAAATCAGAAGAGACCGCCTTCAATATTCAATTACCCTTTTCGTTACGTCACTGAATTTGTATTAAATACCATATTATCATTTCGAGTGTTCAGTAGTTGGACTACATTTCATTCACTTGCTTTGTATACAATATTTGTTTATATTTAATTATCTGAATATTGGGCCATAAATGAAGTATATATTTTGAAAGAGTTCTCAGATATTAAGCTACAAATATTTAACATGAGCATATACAAATCTATAAAGTTTATAATAAAGTTGTATATATTTTTGTTGAACATAGCCAACAAATCTTGCTGTATTGAATCTCGTGAGCAAAAAAATATTTATTACTATAAAAAATCAATAAATTTTTTCTTCTTTTGTAGGGTAAATCTAATTACTAAAAATGGGTTTTTTACTCGTTTATTATCGAATTTTATACTAGACGTATATGTTATAATTTGGAATTAACAATTGCGATGTTTCATAATCTTTATAAGTAATTAGGCTAGCTTTTGGCTATTTTTATCTATTTTATTTGACAACAATTTATAGCTATTTTTGAAGCTTATAGTTCTATATAATTTAATATTATTGGGTAATTTATTTCTTTTTGAGTCGTTTAGACTAATGCTTTGTGTATGTGGTAGAGGTATAGCAAATAATAAAATATGTATTATTTCATAAAAATCTAAAAAATTTAAAAATATAAAAGTTCAATTGCCGTATTCTTTTTTGAAAAAAAACGCTCATTATGGCTCAATTTTCTAGTACCTATAATCTTATAGGATCCGGCAATCCGGTATAATGTTATCTAAGAAAAATTTGAATAATTATTGATAAAGTATAGTTTTGTAGATTCAGAAAATAAAATAAGCATTCGACTTTGTTTTACACCTAAAGTTGAATAAAATATTATACAATGCCATACAAATATAAAATTGCAGCCAAAGATTTTATTTAATATTATTATGAATATATGAAGTCTAAAATTTTTATGCAAAAATCTACTTTATAAATAGATTAGTTGGAGATAACATTATTTGTAGGCTAAAATTAATAATAGGTGCTTTAGTTTTATTTAATATATATAATATTTATATACATATCTCGCGATACACCCACATTTGTTTTCACTATCTTAAAAGTGCATGAATAGTAAACTTATATTTTCAATTCACGTTTAGTTTCATTAATTTTAATATCAGTTTGAATTGATCAGTAATAAAATTTAAATTTAAGAACATCGTCATTGTTTGTGCGTCAGCTTTTTTTTACGATATTTTGTTAGTGAGCAAGTTATAGATATTTTTAAATACCAATATATAACTGTTTTGTATTAAAAAAAAAATGAAAAGATTACGAAGATACAATTTTGGATGTTGTTTCCTCCTAATTTTAAAATAAAACACAGTATAATTTATGGCCCAATAAACCTATAGGAATAAAGTAAATTTTCAAAACGAATAAAAAAATAATGATTGATGATTGCTAGATTTTATGATAGGCATTTGAAATATTCAAGAATTATTTTATTTCAATTGTAATTATTTACATGATATCATTTATTTATTTATAGTTGAATTTAATTAGGCTGTAAGAAATTTTTGAAAAACATTCGTTCGCTCCTTTGCTAAACAAAGCATTTCTATAGTCAAAAGTGTATAAGGTAGTGTTTAAAAAGTTTAGGGACATATGTGATTTTAATTTTTAACCTTTTTTTGGTTGCAGATGGTGCAAAACCAAATTATATTTCAAAATATAAAATCACAAACCATATATATGTCGTTAAATGTGTTATTGTTATAATATTATGTCGTAAAGTTAGGAAAAATTTTTAAAAAAAAAACTAGCAGGTATTCGATTCGTAATCATACACCGCGGACCACAACGTCGTAGCCCACAAGAAACAGCAAATGTACATCGTTCCGTCACATTAATTTTTCGGGCGTGTGAAAAACGCGTACATCTGCCATTCCAAAGCTATTGGTATAGAAACTGTATAGTTAAAACGACTTTCAATTCTATAGACATAGTGAAGTAAAAAGAAAGTATGAAAAAAAAAAAATCACACTCACTGAATATTGTTGTGGTCGGACTTCGCCGCACGACGAAAGGTCGCGATCATAACCGCCGTTGCTACCCCCGCGGTTATTGATAAAGTCCTGTCGATTAACGCTGAACTCGCGATTGTTGTTTCGCCGTTTGTCTCCGTTCCACCGACCGTCGTTATCGCCGCTGGACACGTAAGTAGAATAATCACCGTCAACCGCCACCGACCGGTCGCCCGAAGTCATATTGCTACACTGTTCAGCTATGTCCACAAACTCTCCATGACGCCTAGAGTGATCTGCCGTCCTGCATTTAAGGTTCTGTACGATATTTTTGAAATATTATAATAGTTGGCGTTGACTGTAGGGACTTGAAATTAATACCCGTACCAGTACGTACACATAACAGTAGTTAGGGCTAGGATTTATATGCAACAGTACATTTTTTTTGAAACTTCTGATTATTGCTTTTGTAAGTAATGTCCACGAATCACCTCAAGATGAGATTTTATTTTGCATATTTGGAAAAAATGCATATTATTGCATATTTTGAATAAAATTAATATTATTGCATATTTCGACTATAAAAACGCTAAAAATACATATTTTATGGTATATTTCGTTACTAGATGTTTTTATCATGCGACAGTTTGTGTTGACGCTGTTCAAAAATACCTATTGAAGACCTTTATTAGGATCTATCAGAAGACCATCCAGTTTTGGAAATTTAAAACAACATGTAAATGTTTTGTGTAATACATATGAGATATGAATAACGTGAATAGTTAAGAATATTATTTAGTTAATTTTAAAACGTATGATTTTTGTTTATATTTCATATTTTTTGACATATATAATATTAATTGCATATTTTTATATATTTTTAATAAACCAAACGCATATTTTACAATTTTTTATTGCATATAAATCCTAGCCCTCAATACATATACGATAGCTACGGTTTACTAAGCACATTCAATCTATTTTTCTTTTTTAACAATGCAGTAATTCAAAATCTGATTTTTTTTTTTTATTCCTAAATAAACCTATAATTTTATTAATGACCGTATTTTCAAATTATTGAGATTTTTTAGTATTATCTAAGGAGTGTCCTATAATGGAGATACAGACTTTTATGTTTTATATGATAACCTCCTTATTTGATAATAAATTATTTAGTGAATAATTGTTTTGAACATTTTAATGTAACTAATTTAAAATTTAAACGAATAATTTTTAGTTATTAAAATTTTTTTTAAAGGATATAAATTTGTAAACATTGTTTTACAAAAATATAAAATAAATACAATATTGGATCTAGTATTTATTATAATTTGATTGTTTTTATGAAAAAATATGTCCAACTTCCCAATTTTGTAAAAACATAATATAATTTACTATATATTATATTATACAATACATATCTTATAAAATATATTTTATTCAGTGAATGAGATTGTTCATTTTGTAAAATAAATATCTGTTTAATGAAAAATATCCGTATTACGTATAATTAATTTTTATATAACAATGATGATTTTTTTTTTTTTGTTCATTTTGCCGTATAAATATTAATTATTTGTACATTTTACAAAAAAATATATTTTTTCTTTCTTTTTTTCTTTTTTTTTTTTTTACATAATTTGAACAATTTGAAAATGTATTTAATATTTAACTATGAAATGGACGAATTTATTGTGTGTATCTGTTTATCACTATGAATTATAGCAAATTAATAAAATTTCATATTATTAATATTTATTAAATCAATATGAATAGTTATATTTTTAAAATCGAAAGTGGATAGATTACCGATAGTTCCTCTAAACATTATAAACGTTACATTGTATTAAGCTATAAAAATTTAATACAGTAGTCGTAAATGATTTATTGTGATGATTATTTTAAATAAACGGATTGCAACTTTATAAAAATTTAAAACATAGGCATAAGCAAAAAATGTCTATTTTCATAAACAGTAGCTGTTAATTTGGGTAGATAAGAATTTTTAATTGGCACATAAAATTGTAATAAAACCATGCAAAATAAGCAAATGTATATAATTTAAAAAAAAAACTGTCATGTACTAACATGTTATGTAAAACAGCTGCAAAACTCGGGTAATTGCAATAACAGATACAATTATATTATAACATTTTATTATTAGAATTCATTTATTATTATATACAAACAATTTATTGAATTACATATAAAAAATACTCGTTTTGTTTAAAAATAGTACACATTTTTAAGTAATATTATTATATATCAATATGGAAATTCCTTTTTAGGTAAGAATAAAAATAAATTATTCGTAATTATATTAAAATAATACATTCAATAAATAGTTATTTGTGTTAATTAATAAAATGTTGTTTTTTTTGGCATCGTGAAATAAATTTATGATTTGCAAAAATATGAGCATATATACTATAAGAAAAATGTCCATGATATTGATTAATATTGATCAATTTTATGTCCACACTGTATAAAAAAAAATATGTTTTTTTTTTTTATAAAGTGCACAAAATGTTTATTTGTTACGGAAAATGAACAAAGATGATCATCTATATTGAGTAAAAATTCTATTATTTAAGATATGTATACATTTTATAAAACAAACATGTACTTCATAAAAAAAAGCGATTTTATTAAGTGAATTAGACAATAGATCAATATACTTGTTGAATACCAGAAATACCGTTCATGTTTTGCTTTTAAGACCATACCTATACTCGTATGTTATATAAATATATTATTTTTCGCAATCAATATTATAATTTAGAAAATATTTGAAAAAAGAAAGAAAATTGATAATTTGAGAAAATGAATAGGAATCTACAACTTACCTCCAAATATTTTAATATTTTTATACAATTTATGACCGAGTTATTGAAAAATACGTATAAGTTGCACGCATTTAACTGCAAGTGTACCATAATATATATGTAATTCCATCTCATACAACGCTATATTTAATGTAATTTTACAACAATATTATGAATGTACATATATACAATTTTTCATACTTCTATTTTTATTGGAGAAAAAAGTTTGTATTTTTGTAAAAATTTGCAGATTAATCATACATAATAGGGTTGGCAAGAGACGCGTATTATGCAATTTTCGACGTTCGGGCTAATGTGTGAAAAATAACACGGAAACAATATTGTTGTCACAGTATAAATAAAAGATATAAGTACTGTCACGAAACGAGGAGCGATTTACATAACACGTGCGTTATTCGTCGTAAAAAATGTCGATTGGTAAAAAAAATAAAAGGTTCAAAAGACGAGGCGAAAAAAAGAATATCCCTCGTCAACACTCAACATATTATTATGTATACACATAATATTGTATTATGTTGATATATGTACCATGGGTATGTATAAATATGAATATAATATCATTAATACCTATAGTTTGTATATATACACGGGGAAATAATGGAGAACTCCCGATTGTTCTGAGTCACGAATTGGATCGCATAACGATATTATAATTATTATACATTTTTAAAAATTATTGAATATATTTTATAATACGAATGATAGATCATAATATGATACAACGATAAAAAATCAGTCAAACAAGGTTCAAAATTAGAGTTTTATTAGTATTAAGTTATAGTTTTATCACCAAAACTAAAAAATATATAATTTTTTTAATATTAGGGAGATGTTAGAAAAAATGGATTCGTTATTCGTGACAGCAATGTAGCTAAATAGCCTATACAGGGTTCCGTGTTATCGTTATGACAATATATTATTTTAAAAGAAATATTGTTTTTTATTATGCATTAGAAAAAGATATAATAAGCATCTGATATTCTCGCAAAGTATTAAAAAATAGGATTCTATTATCTCAAGGTAAGGGTAAACCTTAATTAAGGGTTGATTTAATTTAATTATTATTATTATTTTTTTAATATCTTTTAATATTTAGATTGATACAGCTCAAAAATTATAAATTTATGCATACAAAAAAAAAAAAAACAATGCTATAAAAAATAATATATAGTATATAAAAATACAATTAAAAATGTAATAACTCAAAGATTAAATTAAGAATCTAGAAAATTAAAAAAACTTTAATAAGAGTATATTAATAATAATAGGAGTAGAAGCGGAATTTAAAACAACTTGAGGTCCATTGAGATGATATTGTTACTATCTATACAAGAAAAAAAATTTTTAAACGGGATTAGAGAGTAATGGACAGTTAGTAAAAATATGAATGAAGTCACAGATAGCTTCTTCAACATGGCAAGTACAAAAAGTTGAGTTATTTAAGAAAAGGTAAAATAAATAAGTAAGAAATAAATTATGTCCTAATCTGAGTCTCGAAAAATAAACGATTTAGATGGTATTAATATAAATTATATTATCACATAAGACGTATATACCTGTTAGTCGATTTTCAATATATTTATTTATTGTTATAGTGTTATGTTTTATGAAAGTCACATCTAATCTGATTATATTGACTTATAAATATTAAATACACAATATTTTATAACATTGTCTTATGAAGTTCTATAATTTTGATAATATGACATATAGGTATAGTATAATAATTAATAACATATATTATATACTATATTATATTGAAAACATAACATATGTGTTTTAAAAATTGTAAAACGTATAGGTAAATGATATACAAAAATTAATTTTCTTCTCAGTTATTATCTAGTTTCTTGGGAAATTACGGAAAAAACTGTAAATAGGTACGTATTGATGAAACACATTAACTGATTAAAAGATTTTATCGCGGATAATTTCTTGATCATCGAAATAATTGTCCGATTTATCCTTTCGGCGTGTTCATGATAAAACAATAAACAATATGTTTTAATGTAGCGCGCGATTTATACTCAAATACACGTCCATAATATTAGAATTTATCAACAATACATTTTACTTACGTGGACTTGTCCGATGGTCAGCAGAATGGCGACAGACAGCGTCACGACCGTCGTAGTACTATGATGGTAGCGTCTTGCGTTGTTTAGAAATAATAACATGGTGATGACGATGATGTATCGTAAATACAATATTGCCGTGTTGCGAGTCTTTCGTTTTTATACAAGTTGTCGGAAATTGACATCGTGGACGTCACATGGATAATAGTATAATAATTGTTATTGTTTGGGTACCAGTGATTTATTTAAAAAAAAATACATAATTTCGGTCCACATGTGTATGTATATAATGCGTATGCTGATAATAGGTACACGAATACTGTCACCGATTTTATGTTTGTAGTATTTTTTTCCGGTCGGAAGTAAGTATTATAGTTGTCGTGTCATTGGCGTTGGGTGACTGACACGCACGTGGTACATAATATAGTTTATAGGTGCCTAAAATTTTATAATATGCTGTTGCAAGTACAATAAATTTTCATATAATAAGTGTATCGCGTGTAAAGAGGGTGTCTCATCGCGTCCTTCTTGCAGCTTGGCATTTTTTTACTACTAATTAATAACAAATAGCCTATACGTCATATATTTAAGCAAGGACAAACAATAGTCACGCACATGACAAATACATTTGATTTAAATTATAGTCGACATGACTTTTATTACGAAGACCGTTCAGCTAATACAATGCACATTTTTAATTTAACTCATTGAATAATAATTTTTGCACAGAATATTTACCAAATTAAATTTTGTAATATTAAATAATTAAATAATAACGTTGCACTCAATAAAAAAAAAAAAATAATAAATAACGTATGAGTAGGAATAAGTTTTAACCTGATATTGATCTAAACGTTTACAGATACTCTTCGAACCCAAAATATTTTTACAGGGGTTCACATGTTTCAGAGTTCTGGATAATCCGTAATAAGACCAAGAACAGAATTCGAAGCTCATCGTGAAAATCCTATAACTTCTTGTTTCGGGATCAGTTTTGACGTCGAAGCGACCCGAATACTCGATGATGGATGATGGATGATTAAACATTAAACTTAACGAGTCACTGTTATTATTACCGTTGCAAAGGCAGTTGACGATAGCGCAGACAATTTGCTGTTGTTGTGTACCGTTTAAATCAAAATAGCAAGAGAAATTAGCGTTTTGATTAATCGCCTTTTTATGTCACGTTTTACAATTTAATCGTTTGTTTTTAACTAATCGTGTGTACTTATAAGTTAGCTATAAAATATATTCTGATATATACATATAAAAGATATATATCACACCGCAATATATTATGTGTAGTGTGTTAATACTATATTTTATTATTTTAACACAACACATCTATATCTATGATAAAATGTGATTTTAAGGTAGAGTATGTTATAATGTTATATGTAACGTATTATAATATAGTTTTACCTATTTGTTAATTGTGTTTTTTTTTTTTTTTTAATGTATTTTACAGTAAAGACAATATATTTATTCTTTTAAAAACCAACAAACGTTGTTTGTTTCTGTTTCTTTTCCTCTCTCTTCATCTGTGTTACAATAATACATTTAATACATTATACACAACAAATCTGTTATGTAAACGGTCGACGACCGGGGACTTACAATTCTAAGAATGTATGGTTTTTGTTGGCAATGACGAAAACGAAAGAGTAAAAAATGAAATAGCCGGAAATTTAGACGCGCTCGGCGAGTCGCGCATGCACAGCGCGATCGAACGGTGGCGTCCGTCGTCTCACGAATACATCTTTAATCGCGCACCGATGCAAAACGTTCTGATGTAACTCACCGTGACTACAAAAACACCGGTGTAGAAGCTATACCTACCAGTTAGATATTTATATATATATTTAAAATTTAACGCCTATTGCCGTAGATAGATGACGCGTCCGCACGAGCCGCTCTAATCGATTTCCGCGTTGTTAGTTGCTGAACTGGAATACATAACAACGATATATGCGGGTTAGGTCAGGTCACGTCGCGTGGTATTGCGATGACTGCAGTAGTCAATAGTGCACAAGTGCATTAGTAAAATACATTTTGTTTTATAAATCCTAAGTAAATATTTTTCTAAAATTATTTAGGTAATAATGTGTATATCATATTATACGCTTCACACACACACACACACACACACACACACACACATTTATTATGTAATAGTATAAATCACGCGTTTCAAAACGAATCGTTTATTTATAGGCACATATTACAATGACAATAGCGGTCTGTAATATTTTATTATACTTGTAAATATAATTCGTATACGTACTATGATACTTACAATTAATTTATTAACAATTTATAAACAGTTATATTATTATGTTATAATAATTACATCACATCATGTTCAACTGCTTTCACACCTCAAGGGTTTCAGCCTTTTGCGCGCGATATCCTAGTTCTGGATGTGCACTGTAGTTGTACACTTGCATCTTCCCGTCATTATCCAAGTATCCATAATGGCCGTGGACGTTTCCTCCGTTGTCTCTTTCCTCGTACCTGAATTGTCTGTTGGACCTATTCGGATATGATATAATAAGTTTTAACACTTAAAACAAACGTGTCTGCAGTTATAGTGAGGGTGTTTTTTTTGTTGGTGGGGGCAGAGTTTATCGTAAAACTAATATTATTATTATAAATACCACTAAAGACTGAGCAGATTATATATTGTGTCGAAATGTCAACATGTCAAAGTCGTTAAGGGCTTAATTTAAATGTGCTGTTACTTATTTTCGAAATATTTTCTATGACGTTATTATGATAAGTTTATAAAATTTTCTTTAGTAATAATTTTTATGAAAGATATACGACTTGACAACTACTATAATATTGGAAACGCATTTATATATAATATATATATATATATTATATTTGTGTGTAATATTGATTTAAGAAACTCTAGTTATGTGTATGATTGACATTGAGATGACGGAGCTTAAATTTTAATCATACCTCTTCTTTTTCACAAAACGACTGAAAGAAATGTGAAGAACAGTTGTTTTCTTTCACGAACGCTTACGTTTAAACTCAAATTGTATACAAAAGACATGGGCCAGACAGAATATGTAAGTAATTTTTAGATTATTAAAAATATAATATTGCATACACGTCATGTGCTGACATTTTATAATCTTAATGTGAGAGTGTTACACGTTAGTGGTCGAAACGATTGGCCACTAATAAAATACGATTGCTTAATAATAAAATATGGTATGAAAAATACCCTTTTCCGGTATCGAATCCAAATTTGTACGAATCAGGACCGCCGATGCCGTGTAACTGGAATTCTACTCGTTCGCCGCCACCATCTTCGAATGTTAAGTCACCACCGAACTGTTCGCTGAGCTGAGACTGCACATATCGCATCACAAATTATAATAAAATATGAAACGAAATTAGAAAAAAATATTTTATGGCAATAATTATCGTAAGTATGTGATTATAGTATTGATTATAAATAATATGTAATGTAACAAAAAGTATTTGAAATAATGCATATTTAACAATTAACATAGTTCCTTTAAAATTTGGATAATTTATATTATAGGTAAAATAATTCATATGGAAATATATTAAATAATATACCTATATATATATATATATATTTTTTTTTCTTTTGGAGAAACCCGCTTATAGTTTTTATATCACCTAAACAATTCAGTATAGTAAAATAAATATTTGTAGTAGATAGAACAGAAACTATCAAATCTACAAAAACGAATATATGTTAGTTTCATCAGTTTCTCACCGGAATGAATACACCATTGTTGTCATCGGTAAACGGTCACTAAAATAATACATCTTATAAGTTATAACATTTAATTTGAACAGAAGTTTTTACATACTTTGTGTTATTTATTTATTTAATAACATTTTAAGAAAAATCAATAATATGTAAATTGTACAGCTATTTTTATTATACACTTTATTTTATTATTTTATTTATATAATATTATTATAGTGTTAGATAAAACACTATCTTAAAAAAAAAAAACATATATATATTTGTACTTTTTAGGAAATACTACGTAAGTAATGATTGAATGACAACATATATTTGATAATAGTGGTAATATCTTATATATCGTACACGCCAATGAAGTTTTTAGTTTTCGTTACTTTGTAACTAGAAGGATATGTATTGTATGCAAAAAAAAAAAATTACCGTTATGTATCATTTATTAAGTTGTTTTTTTAAATGACAACATAAATTTATACATAATACCTATTAGATTCTAAATAGAACGATGGATGTATTAGTTTTATAATGAAATATATATGTGTGTGTGTTTTTGTTTTTTTATTTGTATTTGTTATCTGAACCTTTTTCAACAGTAAAAAAGCTTTAATCTTTGATTTCGAGAATGACTTCTGGTAGAAAATTATTTGGTTAGTTACTAGATCAAAATTAAACAATTATACTCAACATAAACTATAAAGCAGAGTGACTTTCTGGTTTAAAAATTAAAAATAAAATTCAAGTAGAATATTTATAAAATATTATTATATTCTGAGAATCGTTAACTACATATGTGTAATTATTAAGTGTATGCTATTCGTAAAAGTGTTTAAAGTTTCCATGAGTTTTAAGTTAGGTTAGGTTAAACCAACATTTTTTAGGTACTTACCTCATTTATGCTACTCCAGTACATTTATTACACTTAAAATAGATTCTTATAACCAATTAAATATTTAATCAAAATTTTGTTTTATATGTTTGAATTCTCAGAAAAGTATTATGGTTTATGAAATTCAAATATATATATTTTTGATTAAAAATAAAGTGAAAAGTAAAATAATATAAAAATACAAGTATACTACCATAGTCAAAAATATAATATTTTCCAAATTTTTTTATTTTTTTAATGAATTTTAATTACTTAAAACTTAATATTTATACATAAGTTATATCAGAATATTGTAATTTTACTTAATCTCTATGATATTTTGGTTCACACAATTATATTTTATTCAAAACATGTTATTATATCGTATTCATTATTTTAATAGGCATTTTCATTGTTGGTATAGGTGATAAATTTAATTACTGCTGCAACAGAGTGTACATCAGACATTTTAGTTGAGTATTGATTAAATAATGAATAAAAGTATCAAAGCTTAACGTTATATCATACATATAAATATAATACTACACAGTCAGAATTCTATAGTGTAACGAGGGTGGAAATCCGATATATTGGTTAAAAATGTATAACTTTTAGTGTTTCGCGAAACCTAGTACAAGTTTCGTTTAAAATGTAATGGACTTCCGTCGAAATTATTGTGCAAAACGCTGTGTTGTACGGATCGTACGTAAAAGAAATATTTACGTAGTATATTATTATAACATAATATGCATCACGTATGAATAGTAGTTAAAAATATAAAATAAATTCGTATTAAATATTTAAAAACTATACACCAATGAAAAATAAAAATATTGTACCATCCTTTACATATTCATAATATTATATGTGTAATGTGTATGTATGTTTGTTTATGAAGTAAAATTATTCAAAATACTTTTTTACGGAGTTTTCTGAGTACATTTTTTATTACTTAATAGTTTATTACAAATTCATAATATTATAATGTTGATAAAAATCATATTTAAATTTACTAATATAATATTATAATTTTTTAGGATTTTCACAATTCATGATGGAAAGAAAGATTTATTTTTAGGATGATTTTAAAATTTAATTTCAAGAATAACTTATTTTTAACCGTCGACAATGAGTAGCCTTATTTAGCAGTAACCCATTTGAGGGATTTGCGATGAGCGGACGAACATAATCTTAAGACTTTTGAAAGAATCTGAATACCACCATTTAGCAAGCAAATTATGTACATACATTGCATAAAATATACGATTTAAAATTGCATAATAATATTGTAATAAACAAAAAAATAAAAAAATCGACCAAGTCAACTCTTAAATTAATTTAAAGAACGGTCTTTGCGTATATTGAAACAACTAGAAAATTATTTATAATCATACGTATTATTATTATTATTCAGGATTCATGAATTGTTATGTTATATTTTATACGCTATTATATAAGTGCTATATCGATTTCTTCAAATAAATCAGTCTACGTGGCTGCACCCTTTCTTTAGGCAGCGTTGTGTCGTGTAGAATGGTTTATAATTGTTTACGCTTATAATTTTTTTTAATTGTACTTATTATTATTAAGCACCAAATAATAGTTGGCTACTGTGCAAGAATACGTAGCATAATACAATGAATATATCTTTATTTTTCTTATTTTCCTTCGCTGTTCTCATACAACTTCATTGGTCGGCTATGCTTGAGATGCCAATAAAGGGGAAATGTGCCTGGAAACTTGGGGCTTTGGTGTACATTTTCGAAATAAATCATGCAAATTTTATGTTAGATTTTGAGTCGCATATTTTTTTTCAATACTCGTAATGTGGTGACTAAAGAAACGTACTTAACGTGTATTATGAAAGGTTTTTTTTGAATCAAATTTCTGTACAGTAATAATTCATGTATTATAATATTTCTAGGTATTATCATTTTTTTTAGAAACATGTAGACTGTACAAAATTATTTATGCAATGAGTTATTTTATTAACACGCCTCTTATTGGCACAAGCGGTCATTAGCGTAAGGAAAAAAAATGAATAATATAAATATAGTTTATACTACGATTACCCCGTCATCATCCGTTTGTGTCTATCCGTAAACTCCCTTCACCAACCGATCTTCCCCATTATCGACAATTAATACAAAAAAGAAAAAAAAACTGTATCGTTTGCCAAAAGTGTTACTATACGGTGATAATACACGTTGTGCTGCAATTTATGCGTTAACATTTTGCGCATAATGTCCATGTGCCGTAATAACGCATAATGCAGGTTTGTGCGTATATGTAATAAAATATAATATATAATGGCTTAGCCAGGATTTTGGCACAGAATTCGTAGGAGTAAATTTCCAATAAGCGAGTTTATAGACGACAGCTGATAGTTACGTATAGGTACCTAGTGAATATTTAATAATATTTTATTATTATTATTGTACATATTTTCAAACCTATTGATTTTTATTATATTAAAATCTGTTACGATGATTATAAATATTAAAAACACACGAACGATAATGTTAAAAAAAAAATAATCACTTAACCGAACCTTTTTTTTTTGTACATCGTTATAAACAATATGATCAATTGGTTTTAAAAAGTCTACGAAAAAAAAAAATTTGTCAATGTTTTTCATATTTTATTTTCTTGGTATTTGGGAGATTTTCAGATTTTTCCCGTTCATTAAATGTTTAATAAATTATAATATAGATAAATATATTTCGTTTTTCTATAGAGTTATTACAGTTTCTAATTTCAGCAATATTGATATAGGAAATGCGTTAACAGAAAAAATATACATGATCATTGTAAGATCTTCTTCGCTCCATTGGCGTAATTTAAAACTAAAAAGATTTTCTATTTTCTTTATTTATAAATATACAATTATATTATTTTATGGTTCTTTAAAAAAATATACAAATATTTATAATTAGTTCGAAACATAATCCTATACATAAGATGATAATAAATACGAAAATGTATATTGTTTATGTTGCTTTTGAATGGAGTATAGAAAAATAATGGGTTTTATGCAGTGTTTATTTTCAGTTTCAACTTTTTGATAGGTACAAAGTTTACGCCTTGAAATAAATTGACATTTTAACACTATATATTGTCTAACGGTTTTAAAAGTGCGATTTTTCGAATTTTTCAATAGGTTACAAAGGAAAATGCGCGTGTATAATGGTGAGAAAATAAACTGTTGAAGAATGCAATAAAAAATCTGGAAAATATGTTCTCTATCATTTATGCCATCTTACAATTTTTTATCAATAAAAAATTTAAAGACACCATTTCTTCTTTTTCCACGAAAAAAAACCTAATTAGACTCTATTGAGAATCATATTTTCAAGATAGATATTTTTATATTACCGATTTAGTTATAATTATAAATATATCCACATTACACAAGCATTTCTACCGTCCTTTATATATATATATAATACTAGGTACTGGAGTGTTGCTTGTTTATAATTTATAAATTTAGAAACTGTGAACTAAAATTATGCAACGTTAACTAGACTCATTTGGTTATGAGAGGCTACACCATGATTGAATGTATACAATGATATTAAAATAAAAATTATATTATATTATAACAATGATAAAAAACTCACCGGTCCATCCAACGTGTGTTGTAGTTCGTCTTCAGTTTCCTGAACGATTGTACCTTCAGGCAGCTGTAACAATGAAAGTAAAGTATATGTACTTATGTAGTTTATGCATACTCTGCGTATGACTAGTTAGCAGCGATAATTAATAAAATATTAAACTTGACCATGGTCACAGATCGTAGTTAGGTTAGGTATATAAATATTGCTTCAAAAACCTAAAAAAGAAGAAATGTGTTTACAAGGAAACAAAATTGGTTTTTTATAATCATTTGGACATGACTAGTAATATAAAGTTTGTCCAAAATTGAGAGATAACAGTAAATTATAAATTTTGTTATGCAATAAATAGCTGATTTTTTTTATTTATTAAAAACGGTAAATGTATAATTAGTTTGAATTTTTGAAATTAATAAAATATTGAATTCATACAGTAATATTGTAAAGGGCGAGAGAGAAGGACTGCTATTATACACGTGTTTAAAAATATTTCTTATTCGAGAAACAAACGACGAGTTATGATTATAATAGTGACAGGATTGTTTGGAGAGAGCTAATATTTTTTGATACGAATAGTGATGGAAAAATGAAAGAAGGTTATTAAAAATTAATTTACCTAACCGTATAACAATGAGACACGAATCAATAATTTAATAGGTAATGCATATTATTAAACGCGACGCGTACCTGTTCGCTAGTGTGCACGTTTTGCGATTCCTGTTCCTCGGTGTTGGGCTGTTCGTCGTCCTGTTGCACAAGTTGCTTGTGACGTCGTGACGGCGACAACTGTCTGTCACCGTCCTCTTCGTCGATTTCTTCTTCGACGGGGGCCGGCGGTGCGGTGGCCGCCGGTTTCTTCTTCTTTTTCTTCTTTTTCTTTTTGGACTTTTTCACCTTGACCGCCGGTCGGGTGGCCGTCTCCTCTTCCTCGCCATCGTCGCTATCGCTGCCAACACTGGCGTCACCGCTGACACCGTCAACGTCCTCCGGCCGCCGGCGTCGGGCCGACTCCTGGACGCGTTGCCGATCATCTTGCTCGCGCTGCTTGATCAGTCTGTTAAACCGAGACACCAGGTCGTACTCGGCCGGCGCCAACAGGTGTCGCTGTGCGGTCGGCGGTGCTGGCAGGTTGTATACGAACGGCACTTGGGTGTACCGGGTGGCCGGTTGCGCGGCGCCGTAAGAGGCGTACCGGTGCGGCAGGTGACCCTGGTGACCGGGATGCAGCTGAAGTACCCTCTGATGGTTGCGATGCAGGTGCGCGTACGGCTTGTGCTGCGGGTAGACCTGGTGCATGGCGGTGGCGGGCGTCTGTTTGACCGGATGATGACGGAGGTGGTGATGGAGGTTTGGCGGTTGCTGGAGAGCCGCGTACTGCTGGTGACCGGACGTCGAGACTAACGGCGGAGGCGGCGTCTTACCGGTGGCGTGGTGGAGCGCAAACTGGAGCGCCGGAAGGTTGTCCAGTAGTGTCCGGTCGTCCGCCTCGGCCGCCAGGTACGGGAGCTGGTACGCCACGGCAGCAGACGCGGGTTCTGTGTACTTGATGATTCTGGCCACGGGCTGGGTCCTGTGCGGTTTGGGTGGCGTGTACTGGGCCGTAGACGAGTCGTCGTAGACCGGCTGCAGCTGCAATGGGTTCATAAGTATCGGTCCGCCGTCGGCGTGCACCACGGTGGCCGTCTGTTCCCACGGCGTGCGGTTACCGTCGCGCTGATGGTACGCCGCAGCGGTCACGGCCGGTTGCTGCATCGCGTGGCGTTGCAGGTGGTGCTGTTGCTGCACGTGCAGTTGGCGGCCGAAGGCGTCAGCGACCGCGGTGCCGTGTACGACGGGCGGCACGTAATACTGCACGCCGTAATAGTGGTTGTTCCTGGACGACATGCTTTTGCTGCTGTCCGCGTACCGGTGGCCGGTTGACGCTAAGGTGGCCAGCACTTCCGTCGTCGTATTGGTTCCGGTCGTCTCGTCGTCGTCCGCCTCGGTCGGTTGCACCGTCATTTCAGTGTCGTTGCGCAGCGGTCTGGAGTACACGATTTTCGGTTCGGCGCCGCGTGCGCACATCAATAACACCTGCGCATACTACACACGAAAGAGGCCGTTGTGAGATAATACAATATCCATAAAATAATAAACATTAATGTGCCGAAGAACTTCGGTGTCATCGGACTTGAACTTTGTAATGAAAATATAGAATACATCTATTTATTGTCAATGGAAATTTAGCATCGACTTTGACATTGATTTACCGCCGATGAGTATCCGTCGATCATCTCCTACATACAGGTTGACTCTCCAAGCATGTTCATCTATATTTTTTCATTTAATAATTGATTTGTGCGAATTATAATTTTTAAATATATAATATCGACAGTATTGAGGATTTTTGTACTATTTAAAAAGTATTCTGTGGTGATTTAACCGAAACCACATGTTCGGTCAAATGACCGGCGAGCTGCACCACAATCCCGGTAAATCATGATTTCTTTGTCGTAAAACGCACTTTAAAAAAACCCATACCACCTCTGATGAAATTACTATCGCATACGTCGTAATACCATGCACGCAAAACGTATTAGAACGATATGTGGCTGATATATATGATAATATTATTTACTAACATATACCACATACACATTGCACTATAAAATGATATAGCGTCGTGTTATTAATTTCTAATGTTACGATATTATAGTCTGTACGAATAATGTAAATTACGTAGCCACGCATACCACAGTATCTGTATAATTTAGTAATGTCATCGTGTTCAGAAGAAGAACTCAATAATTATATATTATAGAATTATCGTATTCGTTTGTTTTAACATAAATTATAGTTATCAATGTACTGTTTCGTTTGCTAAAACCGATCGAATGTACCACTGTCGACACTGTTAAATGTATAATAATTACACCAGTAGGTAGATATACCATGTTCAAGTAAAATCAAAATCATAAATAACATGAAGTGATAAAACGGATCAAAGAATGTATGATAAGACGTTATATTTTATTGCTATTACAGTGAAGGCAAATACAGAATAAATACTTTTTATGGGTTTTATGTATTAAATATATATATTATGTATACATATAAATGCAATAAAAATGTGTATCATTGGACTATTAATAATCAACCGGACCACGTTATACAACGCCGATGTGTTCCAAATAATATTATGGCCTTTTTAGTTCTTACGCATAGAATCATAGAATACGGAGTCGACCAATTTATAAAAACATTCTACACATAACGCGCGTTCAGCAGTTATAAAGTCATCGTCGTATATTTAATAGGTACATATATATATTATTAATCGTTGTACAATGTGTAATATATTACGGTTCGATGTAGAAAAAAAAAGTTTTATGAAAATACTAAAACATCTGAGAAGTGTCGACCATGGTCCGATAATTATGTACCTATAATTTATCAAAAACATAGTAATGATATGTACATTGTATAAAAATTGTTTAAGCCCAAAATTTTAGTTATTTATGATAGTATGCCACAATATGTGATAATACATAATTTATTATAAAAACATTATGAGCACCGTGTGTCTGTTTGTGTGTATTTAAAGTGTGGCTTGATGAGTTGGACGTTCATTTGAAAACACTCTAGCTGTGTAATATTTAATTGCGTATTCAGTATTTCAAACAATGATATTAGACATATTATTATGCTTATGTAAATATACAATATGTTTCGGCAAAATAAATTTTAATACAATACATGCATTTTATGCGGTTTTAATAAATGTATGTGATGTAAAACAACTTCCATGTCATACGAATAATTTACAAATAAATACTTTTTACCTATACAAAATATTCGACTTTGACTTGTTTAGTTTGATCAACCAGATAATAAGTTCCAGTCACAGATCTACAAGGTTTGAACTCTATGCATTCATATTATGTATTTGTCTATAATAAATCATTTACGTTCACCATTGTAGGTTATAATATAAATACGTTGCCATAATCTAAAGGAGGCCCTTATCATATTTAATTACGATTAAAATTTAATTAATATTCTCATCGTCCGTTATGTTTTGATAAGCTCAATCATTTCTAAAAGAAAGAAATACATTTATATATTTTGAAAAATGGTATGAAATTATTATACTGTATGAATCAATTAAGGTATCACGAAAAAGCGGAAAAAGTAACATAATTATGCATTTCAATGGAGCATTGTTGTGTTTTGTCAATTATAGTTATTGAATTTGTTAATTGGTAAATTTAAAGAATTGTATTTTGCATCAATTGATATTTTTTTATTTGACTTTTGAATTAATATAATAGCGTAAAAATATTTAATCGTAACGAATAAAAACATTTAAGCTATGGCTTATTCTGGTAAAAATTGAATGGACTGAGTTTGTATAAAAGTGACTAAACATAATCCACAATTGCATAACTATATTTTTTACATATTAGTCATTATAAATTCATATAACATATTATGGTCTATGAATGCTTAATTTTAGAAGTATTGATGAACACCAGCTCCACTATTGAATTTTCATTCAAGTATATAAAATTAATAGAGAATGGTGGGTTTTATGAGATTTATAAAAATATATCGGTTGAGTATAAATAGTATATTCGAAACATCTTTTTTCTGTTGAAATTTTTTTTATTTTGAGGTAAGGAATAGATTTTATCGTGTACAACATGCATTAGATATGCGGTTCATTTTTTTTCGGGAATAATGTTTATTAAAATACCTTTTTTCAAAATCCTTTTATACACTTATGAGTGTACGAGCACATGGTACATGGTATGTTCTTTGTTTAACAACGACATGTCACAAAAATATTATTATAATAATTTGTAATAATGTAATTATGGATTTTCACTACAGATCCTTATAAAGCTCAGTCACATGCCATTAAGTAAAAAATAGTAAATAAGTATTTTAATAATATGTTATCATGAATTATTGTAAAAAATGTGTACAAAAAATGTTTGCATAAGTAAATACAAATTATATTTAAATTCATATAACGTGCAATATTTCTAATATTTACCTTAAATACCTAGCCAACAGGAACAATATTATAATTTTCGTATAAAAGATGTATCATTTTACATCATACTTTCGAAAATTGCGTTGTTTTACGGGCAAAAAATCAACTAATAATGTAAATTATTTGACGGCAGATCAAGATGATTCATGTGTTATTCTTTGTAAATAGATATTCTTATTAACAAATTACTCAGGACTCAGAGAAATTTCGAGGATGAGTAAAAAAACAACAACAATAACAAAGCGATCGTCATCAATTTTGGTGGCGCTAAGCAAATGTAGATTAATATACAGCATAAATAATAGAGCAGAAATCGGAAGGGAAACGAAAAAAAATTGTCAGTGAAAGTCATCATCATCATCATCATCATCATCATTATGACTGTCGTTGTCCCCCAATATTTCTTCTATATAATAATATACTGTCACACTTGAATGAATATACACAAATGACTATACGCGTACAAACATCACGCGAATAATAGATACTAAGATATTATATATTATATGTTATTAAATTGTATATTAGTACTGTAATAACATGGTCCATTCTGTTATTACTTACTCACAATTTATTTTAGCCCAACTATATAGGGTTTCCTAAAAAACTAATATTTTTTACTGTAATTTTCTTATGACACACTTTTAGTTATAGAATCTATAAACATTTGGGGTTTGGTCAAAATTATTATAATTGTTATACCTATGCTCTCCAGGTTTCAATTTATAAAACGGGAATTCATATTTGAAATGTGTGTGTATCTATAGCATATTATATAAATATATAAATATATATTTAATTAATATGTTTACGGGTTGAACACATTTCAAAATATGTTAAAGCTTAACAGACAAATTAAGATTTAGTAAACTTAAATATTTGGAAAAAATGATAATTATAAAAATAAATTAAATAATATAATAATAGTACCTAATATTTACAAAAATTATAAGAGTTATAACACGAATAATAATATTTTACTACTATTTATACGGAAACACGCGCACGTCAATGATCAATCACGTATAAAATCGAATTCAATAGTTATTCCACATTGGAACTCATCCTATTTCTTATTTTTGTGTAATACGCGTGCGAGTGCATTTATGGTTATAATAATATAATGATATTATAGTATCTATAGTGTTTTTGTTTGTGTTATGACGTTTTAGTTATGATCTGAGCGATTTTATTAGTATTATGATTCTAACGCTTTACAATAAACAAAATATTAAATAGCCAATAGGTAATAGATAATATTTAAAACTACCTATTTAGTTTATTTGGTAGGTATACAGAGTTAATTTATTTTATCGTAAACCATGCCAATTTTAATAGGAAATACAATTAATTTTTAACGCAGTAGTCGCCGCTTATTGAACCCCAACGGGCTAGTCCCGATTTACATGTATACTAAAAAAAATTGCTTAGCTTACACGAATAGTGATTTGATTCAATTTTTTTTTAAATTATTATAAGATACTTCCTTTTCACTTAGCGGTAATTTAAAATATTTGAATTAATTCATTGTTATTTTACTATATTTTTACTGACTAGTTTAAAAAAAAAAACTATAATTTATCCTATTTATAAATTTTACCCCTACTCCCTACTTATCAGAATTTGTTTTTTAACTAAAAAACAACAACCAAATATTTCTTGTACTTATCTCATAAGATGAATCATGGTTCACGATTGAGGAGTCACTGTGTATATTGAGGGCTGCGTCATCGTTTTACGAAATACGAATACATATTATAATATATTATACACCGTAGGTTGTAGATAGATTGAGCAGGTGTATCGAAACGGTTCAGTGCACACGCGTGTGATATAAGGATGGCGAGTTGTCACAATAATAATATTTTTTTAGGATATTTTTTTAGTAGACATTAAAAAAAAATAATACCTTAAAATAATGACCAAAAACACGCTCGCACGCGTAACTAATTTGTTTTCATTGTTTTTTACGGTATAGTACCGTATATAATATTATAAGAATATCAAATTACTGTGATATATTATGTATAAAATATGCAAATGC